GTTCTCTTATTTTGTAAATATGTGACAAATTAGTTTTCAGTTTAAAAAAAAAAAAATTTTAAATTATATTCTGAAATACAAATATTGCATGGTAAATAAAATAATATTTAAAAAATTATAGATACTTTTGATTAAAATATAATATATTGTACTTTGGCATATTTAAAAAATATAAACCAACCTAAGGCATAATTACTTCTATATTAATTTAAGTTTTCCTAAAAATTATCCTTATAAGATATGTTACTAAACCATGAAAATTGTATATAGGAAATTCGCCAAAAAAACCATATATCACATGTGTAAAATAACAGTATTATAGAAACAAAAATTATAATTATATGATTATTATATAACTATATTCATTATAATAAAAAATATTAACAATTTTATTTAAATTATATAATTTATTCAGTGTTTAAACACATTGTTTATGGTTATGATATTTAAAAAAATTATATATTTCTAAAAAATGAGACAGTTTTTGAGAAAACATTCCTAAGGCTACCGAAAATTATTGCTGTTATACATTTTTTTAAATATATCTCGTAAATTTAATATATGTAGAAGTAATATAATAAGTCACTGTGCAAAAATTGATGCTGTGCACCCAAATAAAATTTAGCATATAATAATTTAATCTACCATGAAATATAGAAACAATAAACATAAACGTTAATCAATGAAAATGTGCGATAACCTGTTAAAAAAAGGACTAAAAAATATATATAACTAGTATGCCTTGTAGTATTCTAACATAAACCTTCTACATACATATAATAGACTTTGTTTTCTGTATCCTAGAAAAATGAAAAACTAAGTGGGGCAATATTTATGGTATAAACAGAAACATAACGCATTTTAACAGAATAACTGATTCCAATAAAAATAAATATATTATTTTAGTTTTATATTGATAAAAAATATTATTACGAAATAATATTTTTATAGACCTCATAAGTATTTGAACATTGTAGCATAAACGTAATGTTTTAACACGTGTTTATTTTTTGCGCCAAAGATGAATTATAATATTATATTTTACTATTTCATTATTTTATTTTTATTTATTTTATTTGTTTTTTTGTTCTTTTTTAAATGATACTATTTTATGATCTATACAAAAATGCAGATCTGCGGAGCTTTCTCAATAATAACTTTTGAATAAAATGAAAATTATAATAAAATAATTACCCAAATTTATTATCTTCAAACAAATATGAGCCCCTTTAATTCAGAATTCTACGAAAATCCTATGAATATTACAAAATGTGCACATAAAAAAAATATGTTGGAGCAAACATTCTTACCTAAATTCATGTTATTAAAATATTAAAAGATCTAAACGCTCATTCTGAAGAACAAATTTTTTTTTTACAATGGCATCATCACCTATAGTTATGTCATTTTTTTATATATTAAAATAAAGCAGCATCTAGCTACTAAAAAATGTAAATGTAAAATGATTTACATTTTATATAACAAAAATTTAAATGCTGTTTTTGACACAAAGCTACAGTAAATAGTTCGTTAAATATTATAGATCCTACAATTTAATAACTTAGTTTCCTTTTGGATATCTATTTTAATAAGCACGCTTGAATAAAATTCCAAAAATGTTTAACAATGATATTATTCATAAAATATTAAACAATGAAAAACAGTCAAATATCATTATATATGTGGTATGTAAAAACCTAAAGGATATAAAAATAAAATTTTAAAAAAACAAAAAAACTATATCAAAAGGTCTATATTTTCATGCTTCACTTATCACAGAAATAATGAAGCAAGAAAATGCACGTACATCCGTAAAAATGTTTTTTTACTATTTTATAGACATATTATTTTTTTGTTCTTTTAACACGCATTTAGTGTTCATTTATTAAATATATCCTTAAATTTTATGCAATAACACTTGTAAATTTTTTAGATTTATTATTTCCTACATTATGTTTTAAAAGTTTGTTTTATGTAGCTATTAAATTATATGGTTTATTAGAGTGAAATTTATATAATTAAATTGATACCTTTTTGTTGGTGATACAAATTTGAAATTGAAAAAAACTAATAAATTAAAAGTTTTATTAAATGTGTGAAGAAACAAATAAAGGAAAATATATATGGAACGCCTAAACTCAGGAAAAAGTATTACAATATAATCATATTTCATTTCATAATAAATGTTGTAATAATGGTATGTAAATGAGTGAAAAAAAGAAGAAACAAATAAACATTTTTAATTTTTTTTTTTCTACTGACATTTTATTACACTATATTTTTTTTGGATGCACTTAAATATATTGTATATATATATATTTATAAATGTAATGAGCGTGCTACAAAACACCCTAAGCATCAGTCTTTAAATTATTTAACTTGTAGTTTTTATTATTTAGAATAATTGTGTATTGTATAAGTATGTCCATTTTTTATAATTTATAATTTAATATGTCTTAATATTTAGAATTCGAGTTATTACGCATATCTGTAGTTTTCACTTGTTCACGTTGTTAAAGAAGCCATTAAATGCATTATATATGCTTATAAATGTTTTACATTTAAGTTATTATTTTCTTATTATTGCCCGAATTAAATAATATATCTTAAATATATTTATATATTCCTCCCCAAATTAATCATTTGTATGTTTCTATTCGTTTTACTTTTTAATTATTAGCATTTTGATTTAAGCATCTTACCATCACAGAAATTATATCGGAACATAGATAAGGGGTATTCCGTGATTAATGATGATGATTTTTGGGAAGAAATAGAAAATAAGATCATTTCTCATTCTGACGTTTCATTTTCTAAAGAATTAATATCTGGCTTCACTTATGGTGTATATCGTATAAATAAAGTTGAAGAAAAAGATGAAATTTGGAATTTTTTGTATTTCTGGACAGGGGAAAAAATATGGGAAAGGAAATACAATTTTAGAGATGTCATGGAAATACTAAATAAAGTAATAGATAAATTTGATGTTCAAAAGACGTTTGTAAGTGATTTAATAAGTATTACAAATAAAGATGATTTTTCAAAATTGAAGATGATTTTTGATTATATTCATGACTATGAAACTATTAAACATACTATTGCTCAAAGTCATGTGGAATGCAGTACCCAAATGGTTGAGCTTCTAAAGAACTATTTTATGAAATATGCTGAAGTAAAAAATAAATGTGACTCAGTTAATGATACATTGTGTCAAATATTTAAAAAATTCATGGGAATAAAAAAGAATAATGGAAACTTAGAAAAATTAACATGTCGTGCTGTACGTGATAAAGAAATTGAAGTTAAAGAAGATGTAGGTATCCCTAAAATTCCACAGAAAGATCAAACTTTCACACATGTGATCTTATTAGGAAATACAGAAGAAAATTCTGAATTAAGGTCATCTGTTGAAGTAGGATATTATAATGAATTAGAAGACCCTGTTGGACCAGAAGAGCCTCTTGAATCAGAAGCTGATGGGTTTAATTCAACAACTGTTTCTAATTCAGCAAATGGTGGATTAGAACAAGGTTCTGTGTTAAAACCAGATGTTGAACTCAAACCAAATGGTAAATTTGAAGTAGGTGATATATTCGAACAACGTGATGGAATTGAATCACATGATGATTTAGAAATATCTACTGTAACACCAGAAGTCACTATATTACAAAAAGCAGATGAACATCTGGAATCTGCTGTAACACCAGAACTTACTGAATCAAAAGTATCTAATGGGTTATCAGAATCTGACACATTACCAAAAATTATTGGATTATCAGACACTGCTGGACTACCTGACACTAATGGAATGTCGGAGAATACTGTATCACATCCACCTAATGTAGTATCTGAAAATCCAGTAATGCAGGTTCCTGCAACACTAAATCCCGTGGGATCACTACTAAATCCTGTAGAACACCCAAATGGACTAAATAACGCTATTAAAACAGACGACTCTTCGACGGTAAAATCTTCCCCTGAAATGTATTCATTTTTTTCATCAACGTATACTAAAGCTGCAGGCGTTCTACTGTTCTTAGGAATTTTGATACCTATGCTTATTGTGTATATTGTAAGTGTTTTTTAATATATAAAAATATTGTATATTAACATTAAGTTATTTATTCGTAGCTTTTAAATAAATCTATTACACATTATATATATTTTATTAAAATTTTTAGCTTTCAGTACTTTTTTCAAAAGTACAGAATCGCTATTTCAGGAAAAAGAAAAAACCGTATCATTTGTATTTTGATAAAACACATGTATATCCATTCTATTATGATAGAATGTCAGAGGGAAAACCGTACTACAAACAGAATGTGGGTTATTATCCTCTTATGATTGAGTAATATATAAAGAATTCACAAGAGTAAGGGATTCATAACATCTGTCACTACAGTGGGGAGGGAAAAAGAAACTAAAATTTTCATATACATTATGACATGCATTATGGTAAATTTAATAATTAAAGGAATGTAAATCACGTATGAACTCAGATGTGCAACGTTAATTGAAAAAAAGTAATTTTCAAATACAGATTATCATAAAAATGTGAAAATAATAAATTTAAAAAGTTGTCATATAATATAATGTTTGTTTTAAGGACGCAAGATATACATTAATTTCTTGGATCCTCTATGTTGTTTATATAATTCAGGTAAGGAAAAATATATAATTATGTCAAATAGGGAAGATAGTTTTTTTAAATTATTAAATGCCTTTTTCATTATCACATAATGTTCAAAATTCTTAAAACGTTACACAAAAAATGACCAGTTGGATATTTTAAGGGCTTATAATTTAACATAGAAAAATATATTACATAGCATGCGAAAAAAATTTATAATATACACAAGAGTTACATTTGTTGTAAATAAAATGAATTGTGAGCTTATTAGTCAGTATAATATCACATCACTTAATAAAATGGTATGTATTAATATATATATTTTATACAGAGGAATCATAAATATTTAAATGAGCATCACCAAAAAGAAAAATTATACAAAAGTTTTAAATCCCTATTTTTATTGGCTTTTAAAGAAATTTAATGCAATTCATGAATAAATGTATACATGTATTTCAGATTAACTATGTATATATGGAATATTAAAATTGTAGAGAATCCCAATATATTACATTACTAATTATTAAATACCATAAAATTGATGCACATATAATTAATATGTGCTTATTCTCACAGGAATATGAAAATAAAACGTATTAATGGAAATACTAATTATTACAGTATATTAATTTAAAAAGAAAGATTCTGTTTATTATTAAATGTAAAAAAAATTATACTACCCGAAAAATAAGATTTATTTATTATAAAAATACATTCCGATTAGTGGATAAAGAGAACAATACTCATTTTAATGATGTTATATATATTGTGGGAACAGACGTCGAATAATTAATGCAAAGATTATTAAAAGATGAGTTATATGAAGCGTATAACAATTTAATATATTTTAATTTTATATATTTTTTATATAACACTTGTTTAAAAACAGTTATATACAGATATATCTGTTATAACAAAGACAGGTGAAAAGTAACTTCAAGACATCCTTAGAAGAATTAAATAGAAAATAATATTAATTAATCTGTGACGACTGAATATTGAATGTATATGGGTTTTGGCTCCTTTGTAGCTACAGTGCTGCAATAAAATAAAAAAAAGAAGTAATGATGATTATGTGTTTCATTTAAAGGTTACATAACATTTTCACATTCTATTCTCCTGTAAGAATAAGTATGCTATTCATGATCCATAAATATTATTTAAAAAAAGTAGTCACCAATTGAGGTAAAATAATAAGTCCAATAAATAATTCTACATTATTTTAAGAAGAAAGTAATTAAAACATTTATATTATTTTTATTAAAATTTTTAAAAAATCAAGATATATTTAAAAATATTTATGTTAGCGAGAGTATTATGGAGAGAATAATATATTTTTGAATTATATGTTCAGACGTCTTAGAGATTACAGAATTCATAAATAACGACGATGACAGTATAAAACGAATTAATTCAAGTACCACAGTTACGTTTAATAAAACATATACTATTGGATATTAAAATAATTACTAAATTATAATATTTTTCTATAATTATGTTAATATATTTCAACAGGAATTACTTCAGACATACATAAAACATGCTCTAGCATTATATGTCACTGTGTTAACTTACACATAGGGGAATTTTTATGTGTATCCATGATACATATATACAAAAATTAGGACCCTTGAAGTAGATGTATTTATAATTATTTTTTTGTGAAGCACAAATAAATTAATTTATTACATATATACAATATATAAGTGTAATAAATTAATTTTTAACGTTATGTTCTCAAGGGCATTACACGATTGTGTTCCAATATTTTATGTACATGTGTCTACAAAAATATTGGAAAGGTTATAAATTTTAAGTTTTAATTATTCAGGCATAAATGCATGATTGTTTCAATGATGTTCTTTAATTAAGAGTATACAATTGTTTACATATATATTTTTTTTTTTTAGTAAGGTTAGATTTTTTTTGTTATTTACATATATTATATATATATGTACTAAACATTTTTACATGTTGAACATAAAGACATTTTTTTTTTCGTGTAGTACATGTACAAATTATTAATGCTATAAGGACTATGTTTTTATATAAATTACTTTTTTTTAATTTTGTAGTCATAGCAGTTCATATTATCATAAATATTTGTCAAACTAGTATATACTAATTAAAAAATTTGTTTAAATGTGTTTGTCAATATAAGGATTAAGAAGTAGCTAAAATTTAGGCTGTCATCAGATTAGAACAAATACTTACTATTTATTTGAACTGGGTTAGTTCAATTAAGGTAATATTACTGAATATAAAAAAAAATATAAAATAAAAAGACTAATCATTTAATCCATAAATTTATTCCTTTCGTACGCAGCAACTAAATATCACGTAAAAAGGATTATATTATAATTATATATAGTAATATAACAAAAACATACTTGCACTGAAGAACAAATATAAAAATATTATTTCTTCACAATTCTATGATGTATCATCTGCATTCCTTGTTATATATAACAAATAAATATTCTTATAAAAATATAATAATTTTTTTTTGTTATAATTCTTTTGTTATGTAAAACACAATAATAGAAAAAATCATAACATATATATATATAGTTAAAATAATAATAACTAATTTATTATTATTAATTATGAATGGAAAAAAGGTGT